ACATCAATCGGTTAATGCGGATATGCTCAAATTGATGGATATGATTGTATTTGGAGAAAGCTGTGGGATCTTCCAGTTTGTGCAAAATAAGAAAATTCGAAATGTAATAAAAACAATAAAAACCATAATTTCAATAATACTGTTGCAAATGATATTAAAATGTAAGCATAAATGTAAAGATTAGTATGGTATAAAATTTTGAGATTTGATTTTTGATTTTGATATTTATGATTATTCAAAATAAATTATGGCTGCATAAACATAAAGAATTTTGCAATGAAAATTTAATAGGCCTCCAAAATATTATTAAAGTTTATATTTTGCAATTATTTAAATAACCATTTTGCTCAAAATTTCTTCATTTGTATTTTTCAAAATTATATTTCTCTTCACTTACTAATGATTTAAGGCTTTTTCCTCTAAAAACGTTTTTCTGTCGCCATGCTGTCGTTTTCTGGGGGATTATGTAAGATGAAAAAGTATAAAGTCAAAATTATAACATAAATTAGCAACAACCTCTTAATTATTCATTTTAATTTTGTTATTTCCCCCGCTCTGTTCTAAAAATAGAAACTGCTTAATAACTATTTTTGGGGTGCGTCATTTCTAGATTCATGCACATCTATCTATCTATATTTCTGAACACCCGCCCCTTCACTGAAGAACACTGCGGAGAATCCTGAGCATATCATAAGGATGATGACATAGCTAATTCCAACCAAAACCTTTCTCTTAAACTACGCTGCCATATTGGATAACTATACACTTTGCTTCTGCTCTCCAGCGAAGGCAGAAGGCTGCTTTTCTTCTTACTGCAAAGCTATCAAAAACGTAAATGATTTGAAATAGGCACGATTAGAGTCTCAAGCGAATTTTGCCACAAATATCAACTGAAAGAAAATTGAATATTTCATCTGTCAAGTTTTTCATTAAGGAACTTCGACATCTACGCTATCAACGTTTGTACATTATTACATATAGATAATAAACTGTGCCAACGATAACTTCAATAATTTAACTATTTTAATACATTTTATTTAAAATATCTCAAACTCAATAATGCAACGTTATCAAAATTTATTCAGTGACATAATACGCGTCATATACTTAATCAATTTAGAATAACAATAAAACACTAGAGACATTAATTAGATTATGAAACAAATAAATATTCCAATTTTGAAGGGTTCTTCAGATCATAAGATAGCTTCGACCATGAGAAATGATAAATACCATACAATAGCTTAAAAGTTACTGACTGATATGAATACCTTTCGCCCTTTGTCAACGCAGGAAACAAATTATTAATTTCTCGAAACATCTCAAGATGAAAGTTATTGGGTTCAACCTCATTATAATGGTTCAAACATCTCGGATATTACACAGTATGTTATTTAACAAAATGAAACAAATAATAATATATTCACAACTGAAAGGCTATATTTCAATATGAGAATGAAATTACATTTTAAAATCCAAAGTTCCAGTGAGTGTTATTAAGACACTCAACTATAATTCCTCAATACTAATCGCTAAATATTGCCCATCATAAAATTTCTTATCTTAAAAACTAAAGATATTTTTAATTATCGATAAGCCTGAAAAATTAACCATAAATTTTTAAGAGCTTTCTTTTCGTTAACAGAACTGCCAAAACGTTGGCAGAAAATCATAGATTCGGGTGGTAATTACTACCCGCACTAAAGGTAATGCTTTCATGTTATTATTGTGTTTCCCTAGCTATACGAAGGGCGTTTACTGGCGAAAAACCAGATATAATACTAAATTATCACCTTAGTTTTTTAAATATGAAATAACGTTTCTGAACAAAGTCATTTATTTAAATTCGCTTACGATTTAGTCATTTATTTCATTATTAAATTCGCTTACGAATCTTTTCTCTGCAACAACAACAAATAAAAAATATCTGAATTACTCTGTAAATGCGGCAGTAATTAACACTAACGGTCCAAGGTGGGAGAAAGATATTTTCCCTTGATCTTTCTCTCTTCGAAAATTTTTTCAGTTCCTTTTATAAAAACTGTTGTACCGATTGTCCATAAACTGTCCATAAACTGTCCATGACTTGAGATTACTCGAGGTAAAAGATTTTTTTTCTATCTCCTTTAAAAAAGAAAAAATAAATAAATAAAATAATTTCTTCAATGAAAGTGCCAAATCAGATGGTTACCTCACATTACTAGTAAGCTCCTGGAGGCTCCAACAATATAACAATAAAACAAACGTTACTCGTCAGTAGTAAGTGCCCGTAACCGGCCGACGGAAGTGACGTCACAGGGGGCGTGGCCTCCGCCATTTTGAATTTCCCCGGAAGTGACGACACCACGCCATCTTGTATCACGTAATGGAATGACATCATCAAAGTTCTTTTTTATGGTGTGGCAACGATAGTATGTTTTGAAAGTTTTTATTTTTGTGGCAACGACGATTTTTTTTCCGTTTTTTTGTGGCAACGACGTCATCACGTGGTTGGTGACATTCATTTTCCTTTATTTTAATTATTTAACACATTATTACTTAATCCATTATTATTTTTAATTACGTTCTTATTTTAAATTAATTTCAGTATTGATTTGAACAGTGGAGATCCGTTTTAATTTACTTTCCTTTATTTTTAATTATTTAATTCACTTTCCTTTGCTATTTTTAATTATTTAATCTATTACATTTTTAATCCACCATTAATTTTAATTATTTGTCATTATTTTTAATTTTATCAATTATTTTAATACCTATTGTATCAATTATAAAAAAAACCTAGGATCGAACCCGGGACCTCTTGTATGAGAGGCGAACGCCGAAACCACTACGCCAGCCAGACCTTTCGAAAGAAACCAGCTTATTGCGTTGAGTAGAAAAACAACCATGACGTCACTAGGCTGGAGGAACGTGATCTCTATTCAAGCTCCAGCATGCCGAACCGCTTCACACCTTTCTACATCCGAGTTGGCGAACGAACACAATCTTAACAACCAATCAGCATTCCGCTAACAATAGCTTCCAGTTTCAACCAATCAGCGTGTTTATTTTTGTACTTCGTCTATATATTCCCTCGCTTTGATGATTGCAATCAACAGTTCACAGGAGGGTGACTCCCACTGTCCAATTTGTGTTTTACAGAAAGGATGAATTTGAATATTTTGTTTAGCTAATCTGTTGCACTTAGTTGTTCCATTTGTTTTCATTTAGATCGCGATATTAGTTTAATTATTCCAATCTAGATAACCTGTTTCAAAACTTGATAATTATTAATATATCCAATATTTCTCATTGCACGCGTAAGCTGCTTGGAGTGAACTTGGGTGACCACCCACGTGACAGGCTCCTGCCAATCATCTCCCTCCACTCCACCTACATTTCACAAAATTTGACAAGTTTCGCCTAGTTGGCGCGGCGTAAATCGCCTTAATTAAAAACTTAAGTACCAACGCCTTAGGGCAATTTACCAACAGAGACGGTTAAAGTAGTGGTTGGCTACTAATTGCCGCCTAGCCATTGACTCGATTTCGATTTCGATTGCAATCATTTCTACTCTGATTCTTGCTGAGTGAACGTGTTTTCTTGTACACGATGTCTACTAAACGAACTTATTCTGCATCTAATGTAAGTATTTTTCGCCTGTATCTGATTTTTAAATTACTATATTTTGAAAACGAATTTATTGTTTTCTAAATTTTATTATTTAATATTTAATTGCCAGGTGCTATTTGAAGATCCTGACTTTCCCTTCCGTAACTCGGACGATGACGTAAGTATAATATTTTACACGCACTTTTAAGCTACTATTTGAATTATTTTTCTACGTATATTTTATTTTGAAACGTTTCACTTTTCTTTTGCTAGTTAATAGATGAAGTTGATCAAATCTTTATGAAAATCCTATGGATCTACCCTTGTATTATCAAGTGGGTTCCGGATTTGAGGTAAATTTTAGTTTCGTTATGATTCGATTAGAATATTTTTTCTAGTACTAGAAATGAGTGTATTTATTTTTATTTTATTTATTTTTAGACTTCTTCCTCGTCAACTCGTGGGCCTGTATATAGGGCTGGTTCTAATGAACGTTCGGTATATATTTTTCTTTTTTTATATGATTTATTGAAATAATGTTGTATTTTCGAAAATGTTTGATTCTTAATGAAAACTTTTTTTTTTTTTTTTTTCCCAGATCGATGAGGCGATTGTTCTTACGGAAAAGTCTCGTCGTCGCAATCATAAATATCAGGCCGAGGAGATTACTTTCCGAGCTAGTGTGGACATGGAACGGCTACCGCAGGATATGCAAGGTGTTCCCATGGTCCGAATTCCGAACATCGCAGCCATATGGAGACGCTTTTGCATGGCTTTGATGGCGGTCGTATCTTTGTGCAAAAGGGCCAACGCATAAACAATTGCAACACAATCCTTCGTCGTCATAGGGAATAGACAAAATAGACTGTTTTCTCAGTCTGTCCGTGGAAATATTGAAGACTTTGATGTTTCTTCCAGCACCTACAGGTCGTCTGATGGTGATCACGTCCACCGAAAATCCTGTATCCAGCTCTATTTATCTTTGGACTGCAGTACTTTCATAACTGCAGCCAAAATCTTTTCGACCGTCAAAGTCGAAACAGTCATCAACGATGTGATGATCGGTTTGTCCAAGCCTTCTGCTTGAATGCAAAACCGAATGAGGTCCGATGGATTTAAATCCACTGCTGTACGGCGAATGAGTTGTTCGAACAATTCTCTGACGGTGTCAGGAAATCGGACCATCGAGATGCCTTGCACGCCTTGAGGCAGTCTTTCGATGTCACACAAGCGTGGAAGGTAATCTCCTCGGCTTGATATTTATGGTTCCGTCGACGAGACTTTTCTGTAAGTACTATCGCCTCATCGATCTGAAACATAGTTTTAGCAATAATCAAACATTTTCAAAAAGACATTTTGATAAAAAAAAATATATATATATATATATATATACCGAACGTTCATCAGAACCAGCCATGTATACAGGTCCACGAGTTGACGAGGAAGAAGTCTAAAAATAAATAAAATAAAAATAAATACATTCATTTCTAGTACTAGAAAAAATATTCTAATCGAATCATAACGAAACTAAAATTTACCTCAAATCCGGAACCCACTTGATAATACAAGGGTAGATCCATAGGATTTTCATAAAGATTTGATCAACTTCATCTATTAACTAGCAAAAGAAAAGTGAATACGTTCAAAATAAAATATTACGTAGAAAAATAAATTCAAAATAGTAGCTTAAAAGTGCGTGTAAAATATTATACTTACGTCATCGTCCGAGTCACGGAAGGGAAAGTCAGGATCTTCAAATAGCACCTGGCAATTAAATATTTAAATAAATAAAACATTTAGAAAACAATAAATTCGTTTTCAAAATATAGTAATTTAAAAATCAGATACAGGCGAAAAATACTTACATTAGATGCAGAATAAGTTCGTTTAGCAGACATCGTGTACAAGAAAACGAAATGGCGCAGGAAAATGGCAGAGGCGAAATGACGTTCACTCAGCAAGAATCAGAGTAGAAATGATTGCAATCATCAAAGCGAGCGAATATATAGACGAAGTACAAGAAATAAACAAGCTGATTGGTTGAAACTGGAAGCTATTGTTAGCGGAATGCTGATTGGTTGTTAAGATTGTGTTCGTTCGCCATCACGGATGTAGAAAGGTGTGAAGCGGTTCGGCATGCTGGAGCTTGAATAGAGATGACGTTCCCCCAGCCTAGTGACGTCATGGTTGTTTTTCTACTCAACGCGATAAGCTGGTTTCTTCGTCACCATCGAGATCTATCTCGATGGTGACGGTTTCTTTCGAAAGGTCTGGCTGGCGTAGTGGTTTCGGCGTTCGCCTCTCATACAAGAGGTACCGGGTTCGATCCTAGGTTTTTTTATAATTGATACAATAGGTATTAAAATAATTGATAAAATTAAAAATAATGACAAATAATTAAAATTAATGGCGGATTAAAAATGTAATAGATTAAATAATTAAAAATAATAAAAGAAAGTGAATTAAATGATTAAAAATAAAGGGAAATGAATTAAAACGGATCTCCACTGTTCAAATCAACACTGAAATTAATTTAAAATAAGAACGTAATTAAAAATAATAACGGATTAAGTAATAATGTGTTAAATAATTAAAATAAAGGAAAATGAATTAAAATTGATGTCACCAACCACGTGATGACGTCGCTGCCACAAAAAAAACGGGAAAAAAATCGTCGTTGCCACAAAAATAAAAACTTTCAAAACAAACTATCGTTGCCACACCATAAAAAAGAACTTTGATGATGTCATTACATCACGTGACACAAGATGGCGCTGGTGTCGTCATTTCCGGGGAAATTCAAAATGGCGGAGGTCACGCCCCCTGTGACGTCACTTCCGTCGGCCGGTTACGGGCGCTTACTACTCTCGTCAAACTTATTCCCGAAAGATGTTCGTTAGACTCTGTTACATAGTTGTTAGAATTTTGTTACAATATTGCATTGCTGCAAATAAAATGGCCGATTTTAAAGACGACCGCAAAAAAAGGGGGGATAAAAGAATAAATATACTTGTTTTAATCAAAGCAATCTCCAGCAGCATTAGTACATTGATGCCAACGGGTGGCAAGATCTTTATACAACATTATAAAAATAATGCCTCCGGAAGTAATGAAAACCTCCACAGTTCTATACATTTATGCGTCCTAGCAAAGCAATGACAGTATAGTAGTATTTCTTGAGCAAAAATAGCTGAAGTGTAAGGGGGGAAGTAATTAAACTAGCAAAAGTTTGGGAAATGTACGGAAAGTATAGAACATGAGTCATAATTTCGAATTCTAAATTGTTGAGTTGCTGTATGACTGACATTGCCGTACATGGTAGGGCGTTATCCTGAAGCGACAGGACTCTCATGTCTGTTCACAAGCCTTAACCCTTTCCGGCACGCTACCTTTTACAGTCGGAGTTTTGATTAAAAAAAAAAAGGTAGGCAGTCTAATTAGGCTTAGAGAAGTACACAAGTAAAATTTTGTGAAGATAGCACTTATCGTTTTAATTCTGTGGCTGTGCCCAAAAGTGGGCACACTGATTGAATAGAGCTTCGAAAAGAGTGCTGAAACGAGCATTTTTGTCAATGAACTGACCGATGAGATGCGGAGAAACAAAGAATACAGAGTCTCAATTGTCCTAGATTATCGATGAGCCCGGTCTGGGCACACCTAGGGTTCGACGTTTGATTTTAAGCATGATTTCAAGGTAAAAATTTAAAACTAATATAGAATAAGGAGATTAGTATACAGCCAAAACATAACATAGAAATTTCTTTTCAAACAATTCCTTTTATACCCTAAAAAATCTGGAAGATTTCTTTGAAAAATGAGGGTCTTAAAAAACTAAACATGGCTAAAATATATGGACTGGTTTCGTTTGAGCTGCAATCTACTATAAATAAAGAAGTTCAAAGTAACCTATAGTAATGTACAAATCCTTTTTCATTCAATTTCTCTGTGCGTACAGAAGAAAATTTTTAGGTGTGTCCAGACCGGACACACTGTGCCGCAAAGGGTAAATTGCTTATGACACAGTTTGTTTTTTATTGCTGACTATAGCACAATATCAAACTGCATTTATCATTTCACCTCGTAAAAGGAAGAAGTGATAAATAATGCTATCAGAAGACCACCAGACAGTAAACATCTTCTTCCGATGCAAAAGGCCCTCTAGTCCTGAAGCTCTTTTACTCTCTTTGTACACCGTTGCGACGTACGTACATGTTGTAGAATGTCCATTTCTCATCCAGTCATAATTCGTTGGGAGAAACTTTCTCTTTTACGTCTTAAGAATGAAGAGCTCATTTCCAAAAGTCGTGCTTTGTTTTCAGCAAAGAGTTTATGAGGAACCTATTCGTCGAGTTTCCTTTCTTTTCCTACTATTGACAAGTGCTTTGAAATAATTGAAGAATGAACGTTTAGTGTTGCCCCACCACTGACCTAGTGGTTTAAGGCCACTGAACCGCTGAATACTGGTATTTGCACATGGGTTCGAAACCAGGAGAGCGGGCTGACTGGATAAATGACTTTCGTTCACCACGTGTGGCGTGAATAGGAGCCGGTTACTCTTCCCCCCCAGCCCCCTTTGGGCAGACAGCACGCATGTGTTTGGCCATATTCAAGTAACCTAGCCAAAACCTAACACTCAGTGTCAGAGCAATCTCTCGTACAGTCTATCGTGGATTTGATTGAGATCAAATTATTTAATTCATTCAGATGAATGGAGAAAAAACGACGGCAATTTGTTCATTTGTTTATCACACGAATCAAAATACACTTTCATCACCCACCTGCGATATCGTCTAATGCCATAAAAATTTGCGTAAGCCACAGCAGTTGGTTTCTTCCGCAACCACTAGAGAATCCGGCGATCATTGACTAGACATTTCATTTTCAGTAATCCAATATATTCAAATAACTTACATAATCTACTAACAGAGTTGAAAAATTTGCGTTTTCCAATCGTAATTAATTCAATTATCCACCTACCACAAAAATAAAAAAAATAGAACTTACAAAAAACTATTGCATACAGCAAATTATCAAAAAAATTTTAATGAATTTTTGTAAAGTACTCTGAAATTAAGAAAGAAACAACTGTTGAATACAGCATGTAAATAATGTAAAATGAAAGTCGAATTCATGGAAAACAATCGCAAGAAACGACGTAATTTCCAAAATTGTTACGAATACAAAATTTTGATTCATTAAAATAAACACAAGACAACGTGCTACAGCATTCTTGAAAATGTAATGCGATGAAGTAATATGGCAAGCATTTTAAGATGCAACAGAGTTCCTCAACACTTAGTTCATAGATAAAAGTGAGGATTCCTACAACTGAATTTGGCTTTTGCGCCATATGTGTTTAAATATTTTAATTACCCATTCCCTTGCAAATAGCAGTGGCTACTTGCACCTTGTACTTCCACTTTACAGCGCATTGGAGCCACAGATCAAGAATGCCTCTCATGACGAAGAATTTTATTCATGAACAAATTATCTGAACAAAACGCGACTCGGGTGATTAACAGTGTCTTGAGTTATGAGCATTCAAATCGGAAACATGGTCAGCCACAACAGTTGTAATTATCCCAACCATCTCACTTATTTTCATCATTCTCCTAAATACATTAATAATCATTTCTTTCTAAATAAATAATTATTTTACGCTATATTTCAGAATCTTTTAATTCCAAGATTCTTTACTATTTTTCAAGGGTATTTGAAAAAAATCTATGTTACATAATTAACATTCAGGAACCTTTGGCTTTTAATATTTTCCTCATTTTAACATTTTCCTCAATAATACTCCCATTAAGAAAGGCTAGCAGCAAGTGACTTACAGAATCATTCTGCCATGGAGGAAACTACGGACATACAACGCTGCAGGTAGACAATTGAACACTTTTTTTTAAAAGAATCTATGATACCGTGTCTTTAGGTAGAAAGCATTGGTGGATATGGGTCAGTTTCCCTCAGGAATTCCTCCACGAAGGCATCCCTCCCCTTAAGCAGAAAGCCCTTGCGCGTTTAGCCATAATCAAATAAATCAAACATTCATTAACGGAGGAAAATATGTTGTTGCTCAATAATTAAGGACAAACGGCATATTCGGTGACAGAAATATGCAGCTACAAAATCTGTACACATATAACAGGTGTAACTCGCGAAAACTTAACCCGCCAAAAAGAAAAAAAAAATTGTACACCAGCACCCTTTCAAGAAAGAAACATGTTATATATATAAGCGGTCTGTGTTGTGCAGAATCTGAATTACAGGCTTCTGAAGAAAAAATGAAATTGTCAAATAAATAACAAGGAAAGAAAAAAGAACAAAGCATCATCTTACTGATACCAAGTGATAGCAGGTAATAAATATCTCAAAAGGGACAAGAGACAGACAAAAGCAATCTTAGCCCTAATTATCAATTATTCCGTCATTTGCCAGTTGTGGATCTGGCAATCACAATGAAGCAATTATGTCATGATATCCAGCAAGTAGACGTCTAACGCCAGAGTCGCTCAGAATGACCGCTTTCTGGGCCTGCAAACCTGACTTCATTCGTTACCTTATCTTACTTCGAGCCTTATAGAGCAGTATCTTCGCAAATTGTTTACAGATAACTATATCATTATCACCATAAGAACATTTACGGTGGTAACGGTTACATACAGATCAGCTCTATGCAAGAAGACCAATGCTTTGCGCCCCACTGACACTCTCGTACAGACAGTCCCGCTTAAACTGGTCTCGATATTTTATATATATCGGATATATATTTTATATATAACGGATAGAGTTATTTTAGAATAAGTCACGCTTTGCTCTGTAGACTGATTCCAGACGGTTATTGGACTATAAGATGTCTAGAAGATGCTATCATAATAGTAACATTCACGAAATGTACGCAAACAGAGGCGGTTCTTCGATAGTTTTTGGTAACGATTGCTATTGTTGCACCTTATAGTATATTATTCACGACCTTCACTCCCG